CGAAATTTTGCAGTATTAGAAGCAGTACCCAGTATGCTCAAGGTGTCGCTATATACCTTTTTCAATTGACAGGCGAATTTAACAGAAACAGAAAAGCTCGTAATATACGAGATCCAAAGTAAAAACAAAACACACACCCAAACACTTACGAATAAAAGTGTTTTTATGAAAGAATAAATATATCAAGGTTATCCAGAAAGGTGAACAAAATAATAAAAACTAGGAAAAATCTGTAACAAATTTTCCTAAGAAGCCTCGAATAACTAAAAGAATATTAGCAAGTAAATGAAGAAAGAGAAATGAAAAAATATATATTTAAACGAAATAAGACCAGCTCAGGAAATATACGAGTTTCAAAAATGGTATGATGAAATATGCAATTTGTCCAAAAAAAAACAACCAAAAAATAAACAAACTATAACCCAGAGAAAGGCTGTAGAGAACATTTTGTAATATTAGAAAGCTTAGAAGCTGAGGTACAGTCAACAAAGTGAAGAAGATCAGAAGGAGTTATCAGTTGTGATCAAAGAAGAATTTATTTCAGCTCTAATCAGGAATATAAGAAGAAACCGAAACAACGGACACTTCGTTTTCTAGCATTGTTTGGGTTGCCTGATTCTCAATTCGTATGAGTGAAATTACTATGTAAAGTAGGTGTAGAAAGCTGGTCATATCATGGTTGGGTTATAGGCTTCACGTAAACACGATGAAGCTGGTGTAGTAGGTGTAGAAAGCTAGTCATATCATGGTTGGGTTATAAGCTTCACGTAAACACGATAAAACTTGTATAGTAGGTGTAGAAAGCTGGTCATATCATGGTTGGGTTATAGGCTTCACGTAAACACGATACAACTGGTATAATAGGTGTAGAAAGCTGGTCATATCATGGTTGGGTTATAGGCTTCACGTAAACACGATAAAGCTGGTGTAGTAGGTGTAGAAAGCTGGTCATATCATGGTTGAGAACACTATCTATAGGTTGAAATGCAGTTATCGATTATCCATTTTGGGGGCAAAACCAAAAGCTCACTTGTTGTCTGTTATTAAGCCCAAAGCTTCACAAAGGGCTATCTGTGCTCTGCCCACTACACGGGTATCCGAACCCGGTTTCTAGCAGCATAAGTCCGCAGACATACCACTGTGCCACTGGGGAGCTAGAAGCTCAGAATTATTGGGGACTGCTCCTAAATTATTTATATAGTAAGTATTGATCGAATTTCTGTTAGTTCTGTATAATTATTCATTTAATCTATTAGTTTTTTTCGTGGATAGTTCAGACATTATATAAAGTGTAAAATTATGAATAACGAACAGGGACATGGCTGACCAGCTAAAATGATCGCTTTCTTTTAACTTCCGAATTATGGTTGTTAAATGTATTTTTGGGACTTTCGTACTTTATCTCAATGAAAACTACTCGACGTACGCTCTCAACGCTGATATGCTGATATGAATAAAACAGAAATACAAAGCAGTTAGATGAAAACACTATCTATATGTTGAGCAATAAAACAGAAATACAAAGCAGTTAGATGAAAACACTATCTATATGTTACTTTCGTGTAACATTAAACTTATTAATAATTCATGATGTCAGAAAAACATGTACATCATAATAGAAAATTATAAAAACCCTTTCAGCTTTATTAGTAATTTAGCTTTCATTTAATTTTTTAGATTTAGAAATTAGAAAGCGCTTTATAGTAACTTGCATAGAGAATTTGAACATATTAAAAAGGGTTCAGCAATGTAATATATTAATATCTGTATCAGTAACTTTTATCATTCAAGAATATTTACCAAACATTGCAGTGAAGTCCTAAGTAGGTTACTTTCAGCCACAAGTTTTTGTTTATGTTTGTTTGGTTGCAATTAAGCACAAAGCTACACAATGGGCTATCTGTGCTTTGCCCATCACGGGTGTCGAAACCCGGTTTCTAGCATTGTAAGTCCGCAGACATACCGCTGTGCCACTGGGGGGGGCAGACACAAGTTCATATTTAGAAGAAGAAACTTATCTACAGTTAGTTTTAGAACTCTTAAGCATCATCCTTGTGTAAGTGCTATCTGTCAGACCATGAGTTTGTTGCCACAAAAACACACTCCGTACTTTGGGGACGTGGGTGCATTGAAAGAATATCGGTCAAATCCTACTATTGGATCAGACAATAGTGGTCTAACAGTTCGACTTGGATGCTGTCTGCATTCTCTCTAGTGTCTATCAGTTCAATATTAGGAACGGTTATCAACTTGTGTCACTAAACGCGAAACGGAACCCCGTTTATCATAATACGCTTTGAGAAATCAAAAGAAAACGGCTGCAGATTATCATGATATGGGATACAGATTTATGGGCTAATACACTACTTGTCGCTAGATTTTGTTAGCAAACAAGGACAAACAAACCTAATGACAAATTTTTCTGAAAAATATTTAAGGATGTGTCATTCAACAAAGGTTTATAATGTTTGTCAAAACTAATAAACATGCAGTAGTATTTATCAAGGGGTTCAGCTAGTCTCCCCGAAAGGAATGCCGAAGGCCACCTGGAGGGGACACCTGATTTAACCACTCGCACCACGATACAGTAGTGTGTTGTCTGTCAGCCAGTCAGTAAACACTAAAATTACATCACACAAGGGACGCTTAACGTTGCAATTTGTACTGTCGTGACGTCAGTAAAACGTGCGCATGCCATGAATCACAAGAAGAAGCATGTACTCTGTAGGATACAACACAGCATGACATATGAATTTGAAAAGCAAGAACTATTTGTTACTCTTAATCTTGGTTTTATTTGCTCTTGAAACAGAACAATTTCGAGAACTCTGCGGAAGTACATCTAGTTAATAGATAGTTAATATTGGTAGGTATTGTTACATTTTCTTGCTCATTTCCAATAGAAATATTTTAAAACAAACCGTTGATTATGCAACTAACAATAAAAGTGTTCACAGGCTCATACCGAGAGTAGGGTTCAGCTTCCATACTGGCTGTAGGGTCCATGGGCATTTACTTTTCATTCATCTGTGGCGCTTTGTCTCACCGTTTTACAAACTTTTTTTTCTTGACAAAAATTGTAAAATATTTAGAAAAAGGTAATAAATATCTGCTGTTAGTTGTAATATTTCCTGGCGTTCTGAATACTATTTACAATATGCCACTGTCTTTTGTTTGATATTAAGCACAAAACTACACAATGGGCTATCTGTGCTCTGCCCACCGCAAGTATAGAAACCCGGTTTCTAGCGTTGCAAGTTCAGACATACCGCTGTGCCACCGGGGGGCATTCCACTGTCACTCAATAACACTTCCACAGTTGTATGAACTAATTCAACAAGTGAAAACCTTTAGGCAACTTTCAACTGAGTGCAAAATGATCAAGTTAGGTAATGATTTTGAAGGTGCACATCTATTGAATGAACTTCAACAACTTTCTTCCAGATTGAACAATAAAACAATAAAAGCAATAATCAATAATATTATCAAATTGTGTTAACTCGTATAGACGAGCTGTTAAAGTACCGTCAAGGAGAAATGTACACTAGAAGAAATAAGACAAATGATTACAGCCTCCAGTAACACAACGAGATGTCTGTAGACTTACAACGCTAGAAACCGGGTTTGGATACCCGTGATGGGCAGATCACACATGACGTATTGTGTAGTTTTGTGCTTTACTTGAAACAAAAAATTTATAACAAATACAAAAATAAGTAAAGTTTCTCGTAACTACAGAAACATACTTTAATTAC